CTTTTATGGAGTAGAAACCCACTTCTTTCTCCCAAGGAACACGGCTGGTGGATTTGAACTGTTGTGGTTGGATGCCCAAAATGTTATGCACTCTGCCCCCAGGGCTTCATCAGTGGCATAACTTTTAATATCACAGCAGTATGAAAGCTACCACAGACAGCTAGTGGGCCAGGTATACAGGAAAACCGACAAGCAGAAAACCCAAATTCACTGCCATAGATTCAGTTTTTGACTCAAAGGGACCCGATAGGACAGAGTAGAATTACTCCCTCTGTGGGTTTCCAAGACCTACTCTTTATGCGAATAGAAAGCCTCATCTTTCTCCTAAGGAGCGCCTGGTGGGTTTGAAATGCCAACTTCTCAGTTTAGCAACCCAGTGGGTAATCAATCCACTTTGCCACGTGGGTTCCTAAATATTAGCGATTACCATTACTGTCACCGTCATTATTACAGTCTTTCAGAATGGTTTTGTTTTATTGGGAGAACATTCTGATGTTACTGTTATCTCTCTAGGAGCATTCACCGTGTATGCTACTTTTCTTCAAAGAGGTGTCTTCTCATGTCTTCCTGCAGCAAGCTGTGTTCCTCCATGCCAGAATGGAGGGATGTGTCTGCGGCCTCAACTGTGTGTGTGCAAGCCAGGGACCAAGGGCAAAGCCTGCGAGACCGTCACCACTCACGACACCGCGTCCACAGCAGTCGCTGGAGGGCAGGGCTCTGGGCCTGCTTCCAACTGGATCTCTCTGGAGCCAGCATCAAAGCACACACCGTCTAAGAAGGCAGACCCTCTACCCAGAGTCAGCCCTGTGGCCCAGATGACCTTGACCCTCAAGCCGAAGCCTTCCATCGGACTCTCCCAGCAGATCCTGAATTCTCAGTGAGTTTTAAAACCTTGCTTCCAACTCAAGAGCATTTTATTCTCTTGGATGCATTCCTTTCCAGCATTCTCTCTCTCTTTTTCCTGCAAAGTTTGCAGAAGCCACTTGGATAACAATGCCTTTTCTTTTGTTTCCCCTTCCCTGAGGATTGACGTGTACTTTGACATCTCAGGTCTCCTATGTACACGGGTCATGCTTAGCTTTTGCAGGAAAGATTATCATAAGCATGGAGCCATGGGATTGTGAGGGTCCTAGACCTCAAGCGTGGAAAGAAAATGTGGGGAAATACAGACCATTGTTTGGTAGTGGTCGAATTTGGGGCTTTGAAAAAAAATTACTCTTTGCTCCTGAGATTTGGAAGAATAACTTGGGAAACATGGCAAAGGTGGAGAGGCAGTCTTGCTCACAGAAGATGCTCAAGGGAAAACGTCTCTTTGGACAGAGCTAATTTCTCAACCTCAGGCAGGTCAAGTGTATTGTATACGAGCAACATATTTACCTCCCAGTTGCCGTACAGGCCCATCTTTTCTTCTATTTATGGAAACATACTCTCCCTCCCCTCTCCCCCTTTTTAGATGAAGTAAGTGCTATTCTGAACTAAATGAGAGAGATTATCTTTGCCCTCCTGGGGGGTCACATTAGAAGCTCCATAGGGCCCTTATACAAATGGTCTCCATTTAATTAGCGTCTCCCGCTGGACAACAAGGCGCGGAATTTGCTGTAGCTATCACTTGTCATTTGTCTAGGAATGTAAAATACGGAGGTTCCCAACTTAAGAACTGGCTTGACCCAGCAGTTCACTTGTAAGTCACTTGTTTGGAATTCAGATGAATTCCCCGAGAGACAGCTTCCTCATGGTGATTAGTGCCCAGGCACCCACAGCAGTTATTGAATCGGTGACTGCAGATGAAATTACCCTAATTGGTACTGCTCTGTGGAAGAGGCCACCTAGGACTCTGCTGAGTGGGGGGTCTTACACCTCCCCTCCCGTCCCTTCCCTCCCCTCCCCTCCCTCCCTCATGAAGCCTATTCATCCTATTTTTCTTCATTTTACTCTGACTTCTTTTTGTCTGACAGTATGTCCATTCTGCCATGCTCAGTGGATTGGGGTGGTGATGGTGGTTTGAAATGTAACCCCTTTGCTAGTCTTTCAGTTGAAAAGTTCATCCTGCAGCCCGACCAGGAGTCATCGTAGCTGTAACTCAAACTTGTTGCTGTTGGTCGCTGTCAGGTTGGCTCTGAGTCACGGTGACTTCACGGCCAACAGAGTGACCCGTCGCCCAGCCCCGCCCCGCCCCACCTTCCTGATGTTTGCTGTGCTCACATGCACGGTTGTAGCTACTGTGTGCTTTGAGTGTGCCTGCCAGTTTGGGGGTCCCCTCTTCCAGCCCTGTGTGGGATATCGCTGTTCTGTGGTCCACGGGGCTTTCTTTGGCAAAGGTTTGGAAGGATATTGTAAGGCCTTCCTTCCAAGGATGTCTGAAACCTGCCATCCGTGGGCAACCCTGTTGATAGTTGAAATGCCCGGAATACCCGCGGCAGAGCTTGCAGCATCATAGCAATATGCAAGTCTCCGTGGCATTTCAAGATGAACGACTTCGATTTAGTAAGGTTCTGGTTTAAATGCTTAATACGTGTTACTTCATTTTCAACCCCTGATAACACTACAGGGTAGGTGCTGTTACTGACTGCATTTTACAGACGAGGAACCTGAGCTGCAGAAAGCTTGAGTAATGTCCTCACGGGCACACAGTTAAATGACAGCATAGGGATTTAAAGGGAGGCGTTCAGGTGCCAACAGGATTAGGGAACGTTTTCTGTAAAGGACTCAAAGCCAAACCTACTGCTACGGAGTCGATTCTGACTCATGGTGACCCTACAGAGCAGTGGTTCTCAACCTTCCTCCTGCCACAACCCGTTAACAGTTCCTCGTGTTGTGGTGCACCCCCCCCAACCATAAAATTATTTTCGTTGCTACTTCATCACTGTCATTTTGCTACTATTATGAATCAGGTGACCCCTGTGAAAGGGTTGTTCAACCCCCAAAGGGGTTGCGACCCACAGGTTGAGAACCGCTGCTATAAAGGGTTTCCAAGGCTGTAAATCATCATGGGAGCAGACAGCCTCAACTTTCTCAACCCACAGAATGGCTGGTGGGTTTGAACAACTGACCTTGTGGTTAGCAATTCCAGTGCATCCCTGAGAGCACTACTAAGGCTCCTTCTGCCAAGGACAAGACAGTACATGTTTTCAGCATTGTGGGCCAAATGGTTTCTTTTGTAACTGCTCAAGTTACGGCACAAAACCTACAGTTAAGGTACAAAACCGGCTGTAGACAATATGTAAATGAGCGACTGTAAGTGTTTCAGTAAACGAGTATTTATGAAAGTTGAACTTTGAATTTCATACGATTTTGATTTGTTTTCCAGCCAATAAAAGGGGAAAAATAAATTTTAACTTGTGGAGCATACAAAAACAGGCAGTGGAGCTGAATTTGGCTCATGAGCCGTAGTTAGATGATCTCTATTCTAAAGATAGTAGTGCTTTTTGTGCCGGAAAACACATCTAAATGTGTGTCCTTGAAATGAAATAAAGCTTCGGCTATATCACAGCTAGACATCTCCCTCGCAGCGTTGTTCTGGGTCTTAAAAACAGAGCCATTCTGGGGTGAACTATGTCTCGATGATCAAGCTTTGGATTCCTGTGCACTGCAATTATTTTTTCTAGAACTGTTACTTAAACAAACTGTGAAGTAATCTTGAAGCAAGCTCATTCATCCTGAATTTAACTATTCATGGTTAGAATTTGACCATTTGTAGTGTATATATATGGATTATTACTAAGAAACACATGCTACATGTCAGATAAAGGAGCAATCGTTTTCTTTTTTTTTTCCTTTCTCTCCTTCCTCTTGGGGTCAGTGCAATGTAGCCAAGAATGCTGGGAGCCGGAGAGGCCAAGGCTGCACCCGCCTCAGACTGGGCTTTTTTTTTTCCAATTGAAAAATATTTCCTAATCACTTACTGTGCACCAGGACTTCCAACCAGTTTATTCCAGTTAGACACCCTGCTGAGAATTTAAATTTCCCACCCAGCTGTATCTCTACATATAGATCGGAATTAATATTTTACTTATTTGAGATATCATCCCCATATTGTACAATTCTACAGTTCCATCATATTAAGAAGAGTCATCACCACAGTCAATCTTAGACCATTGTCTTCTACTTTGTAGTTACTGTTATCAGCTCCCCATTAGCCTCCAACCTCCCCTTTCATGTCCCTAGGTAAGTATTATTCCAGTTACTCTCTCTATAGATTTACCTATCCCGGATTTCATATACAGAAAAAACATGCAAAACAAAAGCAACGACGACGACGACAAAACCCAACAACAATGACAGAATAAAATGGAGGAAACCTCAATTGAAAAGAAAGCAGAGAATACTAAAAACTGCAACAAATTTAAAAGGAGTCAAAAGAGAGCTCGAACGATGGAGCTATGCATTTTAACCTGTCCACATCTGCCGTGATTGACTCCAGTGCTCTCTCTGATAACAAGGTGGTTCACACCCCTGGACCATGGTCACAGGGGATTCACCAGAGGCCTCGTTCATGTGGGCCCCTGCAAACGGAGTTTGGGTTTCCACTCTCCGCCACAGACTTCTACGAACTAGGCACGCAGAATCTGACTGGGCTTTGCTAAAACCAAATTCCTGAGGTCAGTTGCTTTGGGACTTGGTCAGTTGCATGAAGGGGATCTCATGGTGGCTCTGTGAGGTGTGATCTGTGTGTGCACATACCTGCCACGTGCTTGCAGGGGAGGAGCACAGGTGGTCTATCAGTTCTGATAGTCACGCAGGACTCTTCTATTTGCCCTGTTAGCCGGGTACTGTCGGGGGCATGAAGATGCATAAGACTTGAAACTCCAAGGATTTGACATGGTAGATAAGCTACAGCTTGAGACACCAGAGGGGAGCATTTAGATAATAATAACAATGACCTGAAATGGTAAAGTTTACATATCAAACTGCTGAGGAGATGATCGGACGTGTGATAAGACCATTAAGGCCCTTCTGTGTCTTTTTTAATAGATTGCTTACGTTAGGCTATGCCACAATTTTGCTTTGTTTTTGACGGGTGTCGTTAGCTGCTGTCAGGTAGCGCTGACTGTTTGCAGTCTCATGGACCCGAGATCTCAGGTCCTGCACCATCTTCCTAAGTGAGTCCATCGTTGCAGCCACTGTGGACTTTGAGTGTCTTCCAGCATCTGTTGTGATCCATCGGGTTCTCATTGGCTAATTTCCTGAAGTAGGTCACCAGGCCTTTCTTCCTGGTTTGTCTTATTTTGGAAGCTCCCGAAATAGGTTCATTATGGGTGACGTGCTGGAATTTGAAATACCTGTAGCATGACTTCGAATATGACAGCAATGTGCATGCTACCACTGTGCCACAAACTCACAGATGTGTGTGTGTGTGTGTGTGTGTGTGTGATTGATTAAGCCTTCATAAAATGCTCCACAGTTGGACAGGATGGCAAACTCAATGGAATTGAGTCAATTCTAACCATAAAGCGTTTCGGAGACTGTAGATCTTCAAAGAACAGACAGCCTCATCTTTCTCCTGAGGCACAACTGGCAGGTTTGAACTGCTGACCTTACACTTAGCAGTCCATTGCTTAACCTGGCAGCTCCAGCAATAGGCGGAAAGATGTCTGAAATATATGTGTCTAGCTGGTATTGTGGCCCTTGCATGGCACATGGAATACAATAGCTCTGATCACCTTGTTCATCAGGTTTCTATCGAGCACATTCTGTATACCAGGCCCCGTTGCAGGGCCTGTGGATATAGCACTGAACGACTGAACCCAGTGTCTACCTTCCTGCTGGTTTTGGTGGAAAGGGAACCATAATTGTTACAGCATCTCATGAGAATGTCCCTTAAGATTGTGATAAGGGCTATGGAGAAATGGAGTTTCAGCAGAGTGGGGAGTGCTGGGT